ACTAGGGGGGAAAAAAAGAAGAAATATGCTTATTAAATAGCTATATTTCAGGTCAGAAGTGCTGCATAAATTAGTGCCTCGCTACAGCTTTCCTGCTCAGAGATCTCCAGGGACAGATAATTACTCACTGATAAGATGGTTATTGACATTTCCTGTTATAGGCCCCATCACTCCCAAATATCACCATCTTCATATTTTCCAACCAAATGGGAGTTACCCCAGACACCACCCACCACACACACACCTGCCCCTCACACGTGAGCACACCGTGTTCACGAGGCTGTAGTTGGGGGTTTCCTAATCAGCTTCCTCTTTTGGAGCGAGGGTGGGGGTTGGGCCTTGGACAGCTGATCTTCCTGCTTCTGCCTCCCACCCAAGTGCTCCGGCAACCGGCAGGTGCCACCACGCCTGGCTCAGCTTCCTGTTAAAGTCAGCCTTTAACCAAACTTTGGCTAGAATGCCTCCTTTCTAACTATAAACTGATAGCTAATGCTAACACACTGTTTCCTGGGTCTCCCCGGCATGGCTTTCCTCTGACGACTCTGAGGCAGGCACTGAGGTCTCTCATAGTCCACCCCATTTCATGCCTCCCTGTCTATCCCCCTTGGCTCCTGAAAATACATAGATGGCTTAGAAAAGCCACTTCAGAAACCTCTACAGCATGAGAATGACTCCTTCCTGAAGTTTTTAACACAGAGGGTGTGTGATGCCTGCCTGCCACAGCGGCTGTCTGAAGGGTGTGCCAGCCTTCCCGGGCCCACAGCACATATTGCCAGTGTGAACCCTAGAACTTGCACTCTCCAGACTGCTCCCCTGAGCATCTGTCACTTGGAAGCTCTCTATTTGTTTTCAGATGTGGTATATCCTAAGTGTCCCCGGAAGGTGTCCCTTTGGTCAACGGAGCTGGACAGGAGGAGGGCTGGAGGTGGTTCATGGTGGGGTCAGTCTCTGAAAAGTTACTTTTAGAAAACATGAAGCCGGGCGGTGGTGGCGCACGCCTTTAATCCCAGCACTCGGGAGGCAGAGGCAGGCGGATCTCTGTGAGTTCGAGGCCAGCCTGGACTACCAAGTGAGTTCCAGGAAAGGCGCAAAGCTACACAGAGAAACCCTGTCTCGAAAAACCAAAAAAAAAATAAATAAAAAATAAAAAATAAAAAATAGAAAACATGAAGGGTGTGGTGGTACATTACTACAATCCCAGAACTCAGGAGGCTGAAGGAGGAAATGGCAAATTCAAGGCCAGCCTGGGCTAACTAGGAAGACCTTGTTTAAACACACACACACACACACACACACACACACACACACACACACACACACACACACACACACTTAAAAAAAAAGAGAGAGAGAGAGAGAGAGAGCGCTTCCCAGTGTCCCTCCTTTCTCAGTGGTCACTGCTCAGTAGTATGTCCAGATAAAAGGCACCTTCCTACCTTTGAATCCTCCAACCCACTGTTAACCTCCCAGTCCTTAGCAAGGTCACCTGCCACCAACCAATGGGGTGCTATACGGCTAGTGGAAAAGACAAGGGAGGAAGAAACTGAAATCCCAGAAGCCCTTCCATCCTGGAGACGAGCACTTCATCAGACTATGCTCTTCGACTGTTCCAGAGATGATCACCCGTGGCGTCCTTTGCAAAAGGGAAAAGAGATGGTTTTCCTGAAAGCTTGACTAATAATGCTGCCAAGCGATCCCTGCCGTGTGTCCTAAGCACCTGGGAAGAGAGTATTACACACCTCCCAGTCTCCAAGCATCTTTCCCAGGTGGTTCCTCTCCTTGTAAAGCCTGACATCTCACTAAAACCCCCCGGGGAGCCAGGCACCTCACACCAGGCTGTTCTGGGATAAAGTGGCAGAGACCCCGCCCACTTAATGGGTCTGGAGCTCACTTAAGAAACCTCCTGTCAGGGTTTGTCTCAGGGTGTGGTTTGAGGATCAGCATCGAGTACCTATAGATTTGGGGGAGGAGGAAATGCCCTCAGGAGCCATGCTCATCGCTGCTTTGGAAAGCCAGCACGGAGTCTGGAAAGAAGTATAGGAACAGGGGACATGAGGAGCTGAGGGACAATGAGGATAGGGTTTTCAGTGTCTCCTCAGAATAAGATCCAGTCTAACCAGACACCTGGGTGGTCCATGCTGTTGTTGCTCTGACCCTGACCCTTGGATAACTTTGAGCCACACTTCACTGGAAGCACTTACACTGCTGTGCCATGAACTCATCCTCTGGCCTGCACAGCAATCCCAGAGGGCTCCACGTCACCCAAGAAAAATATACTACTTATGCAGTGACCGAGGTCTATACCTCCTGAGCCTGGATCCCAGAGCAAGCTAGTTAATTGCCGTCAATCATGTTAACAGGCGGCACCTGGGCACCCCTTTGCTGGATTAGTCCCACGGTGTAGCAACGATGCTTTATTTTTCTTGTACACATGCTCAGAGATTACTACTGGACAAGGAAGAGTGCCGAGTGAAAATTATCAATGAAGAAAACAGAAGTCTATAATCTATCTCAGTTTGTGTATTAAACTGTGGAACAGCATGGCCTTCAGAGGGCATTTGGTTTCTGCTCTAAATTGTGTCTTATATATGGAGTGGGGGAGACCAGCCGAAGGATATGGGATCCCAATCTATGTTCCGACAATTCCAGATCTTTCTAAATTATTTGTAAGAACAGAATAACAATGATGCAGAAGAGCAGATAGCATTGAGATGGATGGTGTGTGTGTGTGTGTCTGTGTGTATGGTGTGTGTGTGTATCTGTGTCTGTGGGTGTCTGTCTGTTTATGGGGGGTGTCTGTGTGCATGTAGTGTAGATGTGTGTGTGTGATTGTGCACAGAAAGGTGTGTCTATGTACATGTGTGTGGTGTATGCGTGTGTGCATGTGAGAGGGTGTGTCTGTGGTGTGCGGAGGGAGTACCTGTGTCTAAGTACATGTGTGCATGTTGTCTGTGCCTGTGGGATGTGCCTGTTTGTATGTAGGATGTGGTGTGTGTGTGTGTGTGTGTGTGTGTGTGTGTGTGTGTGTGTGTGTGTAGAAGAGGGAAGAGAGAGCAGGAAAGAGAGCAGGAGAGAGAGAGAGATTGAGAAATGAACTATTGATTACAAGCCAGCAAACTAAATTGGCAGGTACTGTACTGAGGGACACACATCTCATTTAGACCCACAGAAACAGCCAATGAATAAATGGGAGAAATTGCTTTGCTTGTGGCCCTTACTCCAAAATTATTACTGTGCCCATACCCAATCTTGTTTTCCCTGCATCGGGGAAAATAGCCTTGAAGTCACGTGACTGCCAAGCTGAGCGCCAGCAGGAGGCACGGGAGCGATGAAGTTCTAGCTCATTCTGGAAAATAAGGCAGTAGACCCAAAACCGTGACCCTTTTGAAAGTCTGAATGGCAAGCCTGCTTTCGGGTGGCTCTGGGATGTTTCGTCGGTGGAGTCATGAGTAGATGGTCAATCACAGCCGAGTGGAATCTCAACCAGGAGGAAGAGACTGGTAGCCCTCCCATGCAGCCATCTCAGACACAGCGTCCTCCTCTTTATTCTCACTGCCGTCCTATCTGTCACCTTCATCTTTTTGTTTTGTTTTTGTTTTTTCGAGACAGGGTTTCTCTGCGTAGTTTTGGTGGCTGTCCTGATCTCACTCTGTAGACCAGGCTGGCCTCGAACTCACAGAGATCCGCCTGGCTCTGCCTCCCGAGTGCTGGGATTAAAGGCGTGTGCCACCACCGCCTGGTGTCACCTCCATCTTTATTGCCAAAGATCACGTGGTAGGGAGTGTACCGCTGCAACACCCTTACCGCTGCAACACCCTTACGAGAAGGGAGACTGAGTCCAGACAGGAAGGGAATAAGGGCAGCTAGTGAGGACAAGCGCAACATGCCAGCTCGGTCTTAAGGGTTTGTTTGTTTGTTCGTTTTTCGGGGCTTTGGTAGGTGTTGGTTTTAATGCGGTGGCGTTGTGTTATTCATTAAGTGGGAAGAGAAGCCACACAGGAATTCCAACAGTAGGTTGGCTTTGGTTGGGGTGTGGCCTTTTAACTTTTTATTTTGAGACAGAGTGTTGTAGAACACTATTGTCCTATCGAAACACCCCACACCTTCATCAGATCAGCCGTGCCAGCTTGCAAGGGACCACCATCATGATGGGTCTTGTTGACTGCTATTGTTACCTTAGAGGAGAAGGTCTGAGGGTCACTGGACCTCCCAGTGAAGCCACTGCTTCTCCCAGCCTTTGCATGTAATTCTAATTCCCTAATTGCATGTGGCCTCGGGGTCTCAGGAGGGGTGTACATAGGCCGAAAAGGGCAATAGATGGGGCCTCTGTCTCCGAAGTTGTCCGGAAGCCATTTTCTATGCTGGATGAAGATTCTCCAGTGTGGCTCTTTGGGGTCACCCATGATCTCACTAGTAACCACTTACTCCTGCTCTGTGAGTAAGTCCAGGAAGGCCATTGGTCCCTAGGGTGAACTTTGGTGGAATCACACTTTGATTTGTTATTGGGACCTTTTGAGGAAGAAGCAGACATTGTTTCTGCCTGCCCCTCTCCCGATCCCACCCCAGGAAGGAATTCTTATGGTATAGGGTCTCACTAAGTGGCCTAGACGGGCCTTGAATTTACAATCTTCCTGCCTCAGCCACCACCCCCACATAGCTGGGATTACAGGTCAGTGTCTCCAGGCCCACCCTCCAAGTCAAGTTCTTAACCACAATACCCAACACTCCACATATCCAAACATTCCAGAAAAAAAAAATTACAATTGCAAAAAGAAATGTGCATTTGCAAAGTTTTCTGTTACCCTGATATTGGAGCCTAGCATGCCAAACACACAAAGCCACACGCAGCCTGGGCTCCCCTTCCACCCTGTTCCCACAGACGTATCTCAAAGAGACACGCTCTGGCTGCATTCTTGTGAATTACTATTTTTTTTAAGTTTTTGCGAAGTGTTTTTTCATGTGCCACGATTCAAAGACATTGGAAACCTTCCCAGGCTCATAGCATCCTCCTCTCAAGAGAATGATTGGTTATTTAACCCCACGAAAGAAACCCTCATATTCCACCCTGCCTGGGGCCCCTCTATAATATCCCCGCTCCCCGGCCACGATCACAAAGCATGAAAATCTGTGACTGATACACCCAGCGGTATGCTCATTAATCGAGAAAGAGTGTGGCTCCCATTTGCTTCCCCGATAAAATTCTGAGGTGCTTTACAAAGACTTTCAAAACGCCAACCTGGATGGAGTGAAGAAACAGAATCAATGAACAGTGGGCGTGTGAGGGGTTTGCAGGATTTTGGGGGGGCCTCTTCTCTCTCTGAGGGGAGGATGCGATGAGGTAGGGCAGCTAGCTGCAAGCTCCTGGCAGGAATTCAAGGGCGATGAACGCAGACAAGGAAACATAGATGCATCGAGGAGGCAGCCAAACATCTCCATATGTCACTTTTCCAGTACATTTGAGTTAAAATGGCTGTGGAGTATGTGGCCAAGTAGATTATGCTAGGGCTGCACGGGGAAGAGGGAGATTGTTTTCTTGCATGTGACCAAAGCCAGACGTGGACCAATGCACGTGTGCAGGTAAGTGAGCCTGGCGCCATCACCTAACGGTGTAAACCACGGGTGGAGTGTGACTGGTGTGGGTGTTTTGCGGGGCCGGAATAAATAGCGACAAGAAGCAGAATGGGGTGACGAGGGAGAAGAGAAAATGCCGAAGCAGGAAAGAGAGGTGGCAGCGGCTGACACCGAGACCCTGTGGCTGTGACCCTGTAGGACAGCGGCTCTCAACCTGTGGGTCAGTCGTGATCTCTTGGAGAGTTGAACGACCCTTTCACAGGTATCGCCTAAGGCCATCTACGGATCAGATATTTACATTGCAATGTATAACTGTAGCTCAATTATAGTTATAAAGTACCAATGGAAATAATTTTATGGTTGGGGGTCAGTCATCACAACATGAGGAACTGTATTAAAGGGTCGCAGCGTTAGGTGGAGAACCTGTAATGAAGGGGGAAAGGGAGATAGACAGGTCCCTGGGAGAAAAGACCATTCATAACCCACTGTAGGTCTGACTGGATCCAGGGACTCCGCTGCTCTCCTGTTGCTCAGCTCAGCCTTGCTGAGGAAAAAGGTGCCTGAAGCCCCAGGTCCCGCCCTCTTCTCTGACTGCCTACAAGGATGTTATTAAGACAGTCTTCTGATAACACTCCAGAGAAACTGAGATCATTTTCACTTCCCTTATCAAGAAATGGGATAGAGAATAGCGATCGATGAATCCAGGCAAATGAATACGCAGGAGAGCCAGCCATGCAGGGCAAAGGCCATCATTTTCCCCGGAAGGGAGCCTTGGCTTGCTACAGAGAGGCAGAAAGCAGGTTTCAGGACCCTGGGGAGTTTAGGGGTCTAAAGAAACTCAAGGTACTGTCGGTACTAATGGAAAGCTCTTGTAGGCGTGAGACCGGGAAAACAGAGCCACTACCACGGTAGAGTACTGTTTAGGGCAAAGCGCACACACTCTATTCTCTGTGTGTATTTTACCTATGTGGAGGGTGCAGAGAAGATTCCAATCAGGTGAATACTAAAAACAACCATTACTCTAGAGAGCTGAGAGAGTGATGATACCCGTGACCTCCAGCCCCATGTGTACTTATGACCTACAGGTGTCCACAAGACTTGAGTTGCAAAGGTCACTTTTTTTTTTTTTTTTTTTTTTTGGTTTTTCGAGACAGGGTTTCTCCGTGTAGCTTTGCCTCTTTCCTGGAACTCACTTGGTAGCCCAGGCTGGTCTCGAACTCACAGAGATCCGCCTGGCTCTGCCTCCCGAGTGCTGGGATTAAAGGCGTGCGCCACCACCGCCCGGCTCAAATGTCACGTTTGCACAGCTCTGAGGACACATGAACACTGGCAGCTTCCAGGATGCTTTTTTGTTTGTTTGTTTGTTTGTTTTTACTATATGATCTCTACCCATCATTTGGCTTTCAAACCTAGTACGTCAGAATTTGAGCAACAGCTATGTGTGTGTATCGGGGGGTGGGGGGGTTGCCTATTCTGTGTCAACATCTCCTCGATCTCGACAGAACAGAAAATAAGGTTCTTCCTGACCAGCTTACAGATGGGAAGACAACAGCTAAGGAGCCCTGAGCTTTCCCAGTTGAGTTTTTCTCTCAGCGCTGGAGAGATGGCTCAGAGCTTAGGAGCACTGGCTGTTCTTCCAGAGGTCCTGAGTTCAGTTCCCAGCGACTACACAGTGGCTCACAACCATCTGTAATGAGCTCTTCTCTCATGTGTTTGATATGAGGTCTCTGGCTTCTGTGACTATCTCTTGTCTGGGAGGAAAGCTGCCCTCCAGAAGCATCTACCACCCCATTGAAGAAGAAATTAGTGGGGCTGGAGAGATGGCTCGGTGGTTAAGAATACAGACTGCTATTCCAGAGGACCTGGGTTTGATTCTCAGCGCCCACATGGTGATTCACAACCATCTACGGCTCCAGTTCCAGAGGGTCAAATATCCTCTTCTGGCTTCCATGGGCACTGCGTGCATGTACAAACATACATGCAAGCAAAGTCATCATGCACATAAAAATAAATAAATAGATGACTTAAAAGGAAAGAAGTAAGCCCAGTAGCCCACATGCCATGCATTTTGCACTGCACAGCTGTCCCTAGTAAGAATCGACCACGAGTCAGTGAGGAGCATCAGATGGTGGAGGTTCTGTGTGGTACCAAGGGACATGGATAAGTGTGATGATCTCATGCCCAGAGACTTCACAGCCTTTCAAGAAACATGAAATGATGGACAGAAGGTGAGGGAAAGACACAAAGAGGACGTGTGAGCCACAGCCTAGGACCCCAGAGGGACCCGTGCTCAGCCCAGCTCTGCAAGTCAGTCAGCTATGGGGGGAAGAACTGAACAACAGCAGAGGGGACACTGGACTCTTGTGTGGGGACACGGAGCATTCCTGTGGGGACTCTACATGTATACTCTGTTCCTCTCTCTCCTTCCCCTCCTTGCCTGCCTCCCTTCTCTTCCCTTTCTCCCTCCCTCTCTCCCACTTTCTCTCCCTCTCTCTCTCCGTCTCTGTCCCTCCATCTGTCTGTGTCTGTCCTTCCTTACCTCTCTCTGTCTCTGGCCTTCCTTCCCTTCCCTTTTTTCTTACTTCCTATCTCTCTCCTCCAGCCTCTGCCCAGGAGGACTAGGGACTCTTTCACAAGGTTTCTGAGTTTTGTGGAGATGCTGTGAGATTCTAATCTTGTGTAAAAGGTTTGGTTTTTACAACATTGCAAATTCAAACTGCAGAAAATATGTAAGCAGAAAAATAAAAAAATAAAATAAGGCCCCAGGGTCTAGTTTTTAATTCCCGTAAATATGCTGGTACCAAAGGATTTGAGAACACAATAACAAGTGGGTTTGGTTAAGAATTGCCTTAGCCCGTGTGGGCTGTGATCACAAAATACCACGGCCTGCCTAGCTTATGACCTGCAGAGAGTCATGGCTCACAGTCCTAGGGCTGGAAGTTCAAGAGTAAAGCTCTGACAAACCTGGCATTCGCTTCCCAACTGTTAACATTTGCTTGAGAACTGCCCCTCAAGGCCTCATGGGTTTGCATACTTCTTTTCCCCCCGATGAAGGCATTGCTTTAGAAGACTGTGGAAACTTTGGAACTTGGGGCCTACTTGGCAGATATGGACGACTAGGTGCCCTGGAGGGTTAGAAGGCAGCCCTGCTTGCCAATCCACCAAGATCTGAACAAGCGTGGCCACAAGCTCCAGCCGCCATACTTTCTCCACCATAATGGACAGAACCCAGAAAACTGAGCTGACGTGAGCAGTACCTCTCTGGAGTTGCTTCTGACGGATATTAGGCCATGGCACTGAGGGAAGTCACTAACACCCCAGTTCATGGATGCTGAGCTCTCGATGGGTCATCCTGTAGGGATGTAATCCCAGTCACAAGAGTTCCACCCTCATGACCTAATCACCTCCTGATACCACTGTCCCAGGAGCAAGGATTTCAACACAAATGAAGGGGAAGGACTTTCAGGCTGTAGCAAAGATCCCCACTGATATTTAAATACATACAGCAAAGAGCTAGCCACACGGCAGCCTCACCCCTTCTTCCCCTTGGTAGGTAATTCTTGTCTACAGTGAATATGGTTGGACATCCCTGCTGGCTAACACAAGACCCACCACCCAACCCATAGGGATCTGGGGACTGTGTCATCCACATCCCACAGTCTCGCTAAGTGATACAAAATGGTGTTCTATAAACCCCCCAAACACTTGTTTTCAACAAGGAAAACAAAACTTAGCAAAAGAACCTTTCTCTGTTTAGCGTTCCTGATAATTTTGCATTCTTGGGTGGTGTTAAATGTTGCTCAGAATTATAATAGGAAGCAATTACCAGACAAACTCACCATCTTCAACTAATACGACTCCCTTCAAAATGTGATGTTTCTGAAGAAACAGATAAAAGCCAGGCTGAAGTGATCACATTTGGGGAGGCAATTCCTTTTATATCTCTGTAAAAGTGATTACAGACAAATTTCCTTTGCCAAAAAAGCCAACGCCTAGTGCATATGTACTTTATTTTCTTGGCATCCCTCAGCCCCTTAATTTTTTTGCAATTAGAGAAAATATTTGATGATAATAACATCTCTCACTTGAGTCAGATAAATTCCCTTCCCTCCTTCCTCCCTCCCGGCTCCTCCCACTCAGCCTGCTTTTTATTTTTCTCCCCCAAATCCATTCTCCACAGAAGAGACGTAGCTCACTCCTACCGCTCGTGGGTCACCTCCACCAAATGGTATAGCTTTCCCTCCACCCAGCCCTTGCCCACGCACATCATCAGTCTGTTTCCGTCCCAGGCCAGAACGCAGTGGTCCTTATCCTGGGTGATAAACGGAACGTGGAACGTGCACAAGTGCTTTGGGACAGACAAGACTGATGGGCTGGGGCACAGCTCAGTAGGAAAGCTTTTCTAGGGTGTGTGAGGAGGCTCATGCTCCGACCTGACCCTGTAAGGAGAGAAAGGGGAGGGGGGAAAGGTAAAGAAAGGAAGGTGAGGGGGAAGAGAAGTGGAAGACAAGCAGCCTTTGGAAGCCTGTTAACTGAAATGGAAAGAGCACACTTGCTCATCAGGGCGTTGTTGCGATTCCATGAGACGCTTTCCTAAAGGGTCTGACATGGGACAGCTGCTTGCCCTCCTTTCCTCCACACTTAGGAGAGGACCATGCTTCCAGGTCCCACCCCTCCATGTCAGCCCTCAGAATTTTGACCTGCCCTGTGACAGGCCATTCTCACCATACCATCATCATCATCATCATCATCATCATCATCATCATCATCTATTCTCTCTTCCTCCCTCACTCCCTCCCTCTCTCCCTTTCTCCCTCCCTCCCTCCCCATGAGTCTCCTATAGCAAAAGCACTGGGCACTCACCAGTTCCTCCCCTGTCTCACACCTCCCAGCATCCCTCATGTTGACACGGTGTTTCTGGGAATGTGAGTAAACGTGATGTACATCACCCACCCCACCCACCCGACGTAGTTGGGGCCAGGGATTTTACAGCCCTTGAGGTCAGT